CCTGAGTTAAGTCTCTGACCCCTTAGAACAAGGTAGTGGAAAGTGTTGCCCTGAATAGGTAAAACTCAAAAGCCCAAATGCTCCCCTTATACATGACATTCATTCTGCAGTCGAATCAAAAAGGTTAGGACATTACCAATACAACTTGGCAGCACTGGATCATCACATCAGAGCTCAAAGGGAAATATAATTTTATAAATATATAAATACATTTTATTTTATAAATAGATTCTCTTCACCCTAAACAAAAAGCATAGCTTGGGTATAGATATTCCTTAGCGGTGCACTACAGTAAAACATGAAAATACTGCTTTGGGAACACAGCCAACAAGGTTATTGATATCTTCCTTCCTCTAACTGAACATAATCACCCTACTAACACCATCTGCTGGCTGAAATAAATACTACATCTGAGAAATATAAAGGTGTGCCTCTGACAACAGTGCTTGAATGGCAACTGAATAAAAACGTTCAACTTATTCCTTTGTGCGCCAAAGCAGATGCAGTCCCATTCAAATGAAGGAATGAGGAAAAAAAAGGAGAGGAGAAGAATCTGGTGATATGACAGTCAAAGTCATGTGATAGCCTCTCCTGCAATCACAGTGTGCCCTCTGCAGCATTTTGCACAGATATCCTTATTGGATACAGAAGGCTCCATACTGTGACATGCATCATATGAATAAGTAGTAAAATGCAGGCTCAATGTGGTGTTAAAACTGCCCAGCGGATAGCAGTATCTGTTCTCCGCCATACATAGGCCTGTAGCTTTGAAGAGCCTGTTAATAAATAAACTACTTTCATGTTTTACAGTCAATGTATTCCTGGATCTTAGGGTCACCATACACATTACAATCTGACCATAAAATATCTGTGCAATCAACTTTAGATACCTATTCTATATAATATGAGGACCTCCCCAAACTATCCAATCAACCTATATCCAATTAATCAGGCCCTTGCACAGAATACTTGTTGGTAGGTTGTACAGTCAGAGTGTAACCTGTCTATTGAGCTTTAGTGGTTTCTGTACATGGGCAGTTTTGATAGAAAAACCTGGCCATTCAGTATATTCAGTATATAACATTGCTGAACCTAGACCAATTATACAATGGAAGTCTCTGACGTATTTGCTTAGCTAAATCCAGGTGGTGACTTTTTGTTGCCAGGTACTGTATTAAACTTCTATTTTTTTTAAAACATTCTTTAAAACATAAGGTAAGTTTCTGGACATAATCATGAAAGGTCTGTTCATCAAAGCAGTTCCTCCTAACTCTGAGGAATTGACCATCTGGAATCTCTTGTTTTAATGGATCTGGGTGGAAACTGGTATATTGCAATAAGCTGTTTACAACTGTGGGGTCTATGGGTCTATATAGATATTGAAGTTATTCAGCCATTGGTGAGTAATATCCAGTAACTCTATCTCTTGAGTTGAGATCTGCAGTGTACCTTTATGTAAACATATATTTTGAAATCACCCTATAAAATGGTATATTGTAATTTCGGCACATATAAACACACATACACTTGTTATACACTACTGGAACACAAGTCCACATCAAGACAGTATAAGCAGGTTAAAGTGTTCCATTTCAACCTTCAGTTACCTCCCTTCCAGTGTCACACAAGAATCCAACAAGCAATAAGGGGTTCACTAAGGGCAATATTTTAACTGTCAAAATCAGATTACATTTTCATTACGTTTATTAGCTTTCACATGCTAAAATAAAATAAAATCCAGTCAAAGAGTTTTGTTAATTTTTATTGGAGTGAGGAAAGATCAGAACCTTTGTTGGGTTTTATTGCTTTGTACTCGGGGAGATTTTCCGTCACTTGCTTTTTTTATGATGACCATTTTCTGTCTTCAAGACAGAAAGTGAGGAAATCCCCTTAGACAATAATAACAAAAAAACTGTCAGAGATTCCAACTCTTCTCCACTTAATAGTAAATGTATTTTTCTGTTGAGTCCCCACTGAGATTTTGCCTCACTTCTACTGGTGACCACCTGTCTTTAGGACAGGAATTGAGAGGAAATCTACCCAGTAGGGTCACAAAAAAAAAAACAACCTCCCCACACTTGCTGTTGTTTTAATAAATCATGGCTTCTGGGTAGGGGGGGCAGTGAGTGCACGGGCCTGTATGGCCAGTTGTTAGGCCAAAAACTGTCACCTGGGAAGGGTTTACAAAAGGATAGGGTTTGACACTAACTTTGGGGGGATGGTGGATTATATCTTGCTGCTGGCGCTACCAACAGACATTGTCACTTTCCCCTTAATGGTCAAAGTGACAATGTCTCTATAATTATACACTTACTTGGCACTTACATACAAATAGTAGATTACACAGCTAAATTTGCCATGAGTCCATCAAAGCCTGACCTTCACCCATAGCTCTAGTTTTGACTCAGAGACTCTAACAGTCTGATATTGCCACAAGCCCTCCGTCTCTTCCTCCACAAATCTTAAAAAGCCAAAAGTGAGTGTCATTGGTGGATTTCTAATACTATAAAGTAGGGCTGCGGAAATTAACGATTAATCCCTCGATTAATCGTTAATTTTGTGATCGATCAAAAGTACTCACCTCTCTGCCGGCTTTCCGGGAGTTCCATCGGAGATCTGGTGACGTCACGGACATCGACGTCACCGGACTCCTCCCCCTTCCCCAAGTGGCTCCATCGGCTAACGAAGGGAAGGGGGAGGAGTCCGGTGACGCCGATGTCCGTGACGTCACTGGACTCCTCCTTCCCTTCATTAGCCGAGGAGTTCCGCCTGTTCAGGGGCCCAGAGAGGAAGCAGAGCTGCTCTGCCACCTGTAGCAGTAGAATGTACGGGCAGCTGTGCGGGGAGAGGAGGCTACGTCGGTCACCTGTCTGTTGGGAGAGGACCCTTTGGCCACCGAGATGAAGCAGCTGCTGCAGGAGTCAGGTAAGGCTGGGTGAAGGCTAGATGGGGAAGGGGGGGTTTAAACTGGTGGGGGGCGGGGGGGGGTTTAAACTGGGGGTATTCTAATTTACATTATAATGTATTGCTTAGACTTGTAGTCCTGTATAGCTAGTGGTGTTCTGCATTGATGTATAATGATTATACAGCAATGCTGAATACCACCAACTATGCAGGACTGCAAGTCCCAGCAATACATTATATTAAGTAGGTATGCACCTGTGCCAATACTATGCACTCATACTCGTGAAAATGACCCAATACTAAACGCAGATACCGGCACTGGCAAAACTACCGGGGCTGCATCAGTTGCATTTGCGACCGGGCCCTGGTGTTCCGCCAGTTTGGGGGGCCCAGAGAGACCAGAACACTAACATTGATTTGCCATGTGTTCCGGAGATCACACTGCGGCCGGGGGGCGTACCTGCGTTGCTATTGACTTTAATGCAACAACACGCCCCCTCCCGCCCCAGAATGCAGTGAGATGCTGGAACGCACTGAATCGGGCCGGAACGCACTGGAACTGGTGTGAACTAGCCCTGAAAGTCATAACATACATAGAGGGGAATTTATCAAAACTGGAGTAGACAGAATCTGGAGCAGTTACCTAGGGCAACCAATCAGCAACCACCTTTTATTTTTAAACCTTAACTGAACAAACTGAAGAAAGAAGCTGATTGCTTGTCATAGGCAACTGCTCCAGATACTTTTGCTTCAGTTTTGATAAATTCCCCTCATACTGTTTGAGTGTGTGTGTAGGCCAATGTAGTTGGATCTGTATGTGCGTTATAATTAATCGAAATGAATCGATTAAAAGAATTTCGATTAATCGAACACGAAAATTTTAATCATTACCAGCCCTACTATAAAGGCCTTGAGTCTCTAAACACAAAGCCAACAGACCAATCAACCCACTGGTGTCTATATAACTTATATATCAATTTTGGGTTTACTTACTTTTTAAAGGACAATTGTCTTGAGAAGAAAATGTGGACAAAATTGCTTATTTCCTGCTGAAAATCCCTGGCTGCCATACTTATCCATTGACCACTCTACCAAACAAAAAAAGATTTTGAATAGAATTCCACTTTAAGAGAATACCTTTAAAAACGCACACAATAAGCATCTTGTTATATAATATATATTTTATTTCATTTGATTGTTTTTAACAATGCCTATAAAAAGCGTATAAAAGTCACAATGTGCGTGTGTGTAGAAAATTAAAACATTACATTTAAGTCTCAATTAGAGGAAGTATTTTGATGCTGTATCCTCTGGAAGGAGACAGAAAGATGCATTAAATTTGCAGCTATTACTGGAGACACATACTGATCCCTAGGACAAAAGGCCCCTGAGGCTGTATAATGGTTTGAAAATAAGCAAACAATGATAGACAGGTGCAAGAGACAAGGTTGTAAAGGACCGTGTCCATATTTTTTCACACGATACATATTTAATATGGTACACAAATGCCAACAATTGGCAGGAATGTTTGAGGGTCTACTTCTGAATTTGACAGTGGTTTTGTGAAGGCCACAGCTAAAAATTTCACACTGCTTTCCATATATTGGTTGAGAAAGAACTCAATGACTACATATAATAAGCCCTGTTATAAGAGAATTGTTTAACCGAATTGCCAATAATTTGAACATTACCTGGGCCTTTTGATTAAAATGAGTGAAGGCAATGCAGATCTTGTTGTCCATGGTAACCAATCACCTAATTCCTTTCCTTACAGGATCATGGAATGAAAATGAGAATCTGGATGGTTGCTGTGGCAACAGGAACAGTTCTTGCCATAGATCTTTTTGGCAAGAACTGATAAGATAAGATCTTCTCTTAATTATAAGATAAGATATTATCTTATAATTAATTGTTATCCAATAAAATGTTCAAGCAGTGAAGCACTAAGAACAAAGTGTAGTAACATATACCAATCAGGAATTACTTTTCTGAGATCAGACTCTGCAACGTGAATTCTGATTGGTTGCTATGGGCACTGCACTTTGTACATCGTGCTTTGTTCCTTACATTGCTTTACTGAAAAAGTCAGGTTGACTCTTGCATTTATGGAGCATTATATAAGCTTGCTAGCTGCTAGACTGTAAAATATAACATTTTCTCTCATTTCCAATGTCCTTAAGACAGAAAATAAACATCAGTGGGCAACACATGGGAGGACAAGGCCCCACATGTTACATGTAAAATAGTATATAGATGAAGGTTTTAAAAAAGAAAAAAAAAACTTTCAGGGGTTGCAATGCCCACCACTGACTGCACTAAAGAGACCATTAGTCGCTTGGCAATATATACAGACAAATAAATATCTTTCTCTGGTTTTTCCATGCAATCCCCTGGTCCCCACAATTATGTGGACATAGAATAAACCCCTGCAGGAAGTCTTTGGTTCTCCTAGGAGTGGGTGGAGAGGATTTTATTCTTGGGAAGGGACACAGTAGTGCTGTTGGGACAAGACAAATCCACGGGGACAGGTACACTCGTACGAGCCATCGGTGTTACGGCACTGCCCATTCAGGCACAACAGAGAAAGATCCTCAGCTTCATCACATTCATTTATATCTAGAGCAAGACAGAAATTATTAATAGACACATTCAATACATGTAAAGCCCAAACCACCATCATTTTCTCAACTTGTTTTTAAATGGAAACTCTGTTTTGTGTAAAGATCAGGTATGCCAGTAAATATGAAAGGGGGTATTGGGGAAGAAAGATTTTTAAAGTTAATACAGCCACCAGGACATAAAGTGAAGGGAAGTCCAATGATTTACAGTTATCAAAGTAACAGAAGTAGAGAGTAAGTCTTCCCATGTGGACATGGGTTTCATTTACAACTGTCTAACGTGGAATATGACCTCACCTTTGGGTGATTTACTCCAACTTACTGTTCTTCTCAGGTACAAGTCAGTGAAAATCTCCTCACAGAGGTCAAGAAAAACTAAACATAATAGAGTTTCTAACTGTACTCCACTCAATTAAATATAGTTTTGTCTGGAGTTCTACATTAAAAAATGGTGGAACTTACCAATGCATGCCATTCTTGTCATGTCCAGCCTGTACCCATCGTAACAGTCACAGGTGTAGCCTTCAGGAACTCTGATACAACGCCCATTTTCGCAGCCATTGAGAATACCACACTCCTCAGCTTGTAGTCCTTCAAATTGTTCATAGCGGTCTACAGGAGTAAGAAAGGTTACTGGGCTACATTGCATTATTGCATGTAATACTGCAGCCATCCTGCATTGCTGTGTAAATTTACACAGGCCCGCAAAGGTACACCTACCATCATATGCCTCTCTCAGGCCTCCTCTCCAGCTGTCTAAATCACGACCTCCAGGTCGCCATGGCTGAGGTCGGCGCCCATCTTCTAATCCTACCCTAGAAGAGGTAGGACTCCTGGGCCTGGAGCGTGGTGGAGATGGTTGCAGACGTGGATCATATGGAGTTTCTGGTCTTCGGAAGGGTGGTCTTGGTTCATCTAAACCAGAGTCTGGATAGGAAATATCAGACTCAAAGTCGGGAGAATCGTAAGGAGGAAGGCTGTACACTGAGTCCCGAGGACTATAGGGAACTGGTGAACGTTGGCCAAATCCTACTCCAGGAGGTGCTGGATAAGCTTCATATCCTGGTCTTACCACTCTAGGAGGGGGATTGGGAATCGAGTCAGCTCCATATGGAACACCATAACCTGGTCCGTATTCTGACCCATATTCATAAGGGTCTATTGGGGGAGATCCTGGACTACCATATCCTGGAGTTCTCAGAACGTTACACAAGGCTTCAAAATCATCTGACAAGAAAAAATTGAGGAAAAAATAATTCCAGCTTCTCTGAACTTGTGCTTCATTAGATCATTGATTGGACTTGCATTTAAATTGTCAGTATGATTTGCATTTTCACTGCTAATGCCATAATATGTGCCTAACTGGTATACTGCTTTGTGGATCAATCACTTACTTATTAAGTTGCGTTTTTTAGATCCTGGTGGCCTCACTTTCACCTGGAAACACTCCAACTAGGCATAACATCAATGCTTTATTACAGCATCAAATAATCGTTTCTACTCTTCCTTTCGCAGACAATGTAAGGCTTTTATTGGAGTTGTGATCTCTCAGTGAGCCAAAGCTTCTCTGCAACTTAGAAGACCACTGTAGCTAAAAATTATGTATTTTGATAACTGTATGGGGTTAATATGTTTAATGATAGTATTCAGTATATGAATTTACTGTATACACCATTTGTTTATTTGTTTTTCTTCACATTTAAAGTGACACTAAACTTAGGAATTAAATCTTAAAAATGCATTCAAGTACCTCAACTATTAACATAAATTAAGCTTTTTCTGCATCCCTCAGCTGTAGATCCTCAAATCATCTCTGAATTGGTGCTGACATTGTCCTTCCTTCTGGAGGGTGGCTACTTTTGTTCCCCATGGTCGCTGTATTCGTTGTAAAGTAGCCACCGCTCCAAGATCACTCCCATGACCGACAACGATCTCATGTTTAGTTTACTAATGTGTATTGAGATTGTAGTCCATCACAGGAGGGAGCTTGTAGCAGTGGCTACTTTACAACACACATAGTGACCATGAGGAACAAAGTAGCTACCCTCCAGAAGGAAGGACAGTGTCAGCATGAATTCAGAGAGTATTTGAAGATCTACAGTTGAGTGATACACAAATAAGATACATTTTAGTTAATAGTTAAGGTACTTGAATGCATTTTTAGGCCTCATTCACACTGCACGTACGCGCGTATAGTACCATATGCAGCATATGCAAATAAATGTCTCCATACACATAGCTGCGTATGGAGCCATATATTTGCGAAGCGTAAAAATGCGCAAAAACAGAATGGAACCGAGATGCGTCCGGGCAGCGTATTTCTGCGTATTTGCGTGCATATACGTGTGTTTGCGCGTTTATGCGCACATACGTGCGTACAGTTCATTAACATTTCTATTACGAATGATGCATTGTGGGATTGCAAGTATTGTGTGCCTATACGCACATGCGCTCATATATACGCGCATACATACGCGCAAGTATGCGTATATACGCAATATACAATTTTGCTCTTGCGTTGTGTGTGAATGAGGCCTAAAGATTTAAAAGTGACAGTAAAAGGGGTTGAGACAAACTCTAAACCTGCGTATTTGAGAGTTTGCTTGAGAGTTTGCAGCAACAATTTTTGTTTTAGACAGGATGTTACCATGTTCATAAAATATGGGCATTGTACATATCCCTGACAGTGTTATAGTTTTTCCAACCCATGTTACTGTCACTATAGCTGGACAGCCTGGTCTCCATGTAAAGGTGATGAAAGTTATCTTAAAAAATAATTAATATATTGGATACTTTCATTATAAATAAGATTAATATACAGTTGTCAGAAAACAATATTTTGGTGATGGTGGTCCTTTAGGCTTTGATTGCTCAGGAACTGATAATTATTTGCTGGAAGATGGCGCAGGGCACAGTGGCTGACTATACATAATGATTAGCACCTATTTCAATACTAGGGTGCAGAAGGTAACAAAATTAGATGATGGGAAAGCATAGCGCATGGGCTAAGCAGAACCCCAACCTCTGATACATGGTCAGACTTGCAAGACTACTGGATTCAGATTAACCTCTGTTGCAAAAGGGTTATTCTGTATTGTTTGTTAAGAGGTTTGTACACTTTGAAGTGATAATTTCAGTTATAGGTGACATCCAATGGGCTGAGATACCCAATTTGTTTTTCTATCTATTAGGGATGTCAGCAGTGAGATCCAACTGTCATAGTCTCACCTTTATATTGTCATTGTTCATTTTAAGGAATTGTGTTCTTGGGTGTACCCACCGATTCAGTTTCTTTCTCCATAATATATTGTATACTAAATGGGTAATCCAACAGACCCCTTTATGTAAGTACTGGGAGTTTTACAGTTGTGTGAACCCAAATGCAATTACATAACCATTTCTGGCCCTGAGATACCATGTTGTTATTATGATATTGAGAGATCATGCAGGTCAGAAAGAGTAATAAAGTTGTAGTTGTAGAGTACAATAACGATTTATCTACACACAGAGCTAGATAGACACATTTTATATTTGCAGATGAATTTTATGCAACTGGATTTAATAAATTAAGGATTTTGTACATGCCTCCCATGGTTCAGTCTTGTATTTCTAGTTTGGTCATCCTTACCTGAGTCCCTTGCTGGGCACAGGGCACAGCTCATCCCCCATGCTTCCCCATACAGACAGCAGCATTCAGTGTATGTTGTCTGTCTGTCCAGTAGAGGGCGCTTGCATACCAAATCAGCACCAACCGCTTGCCAGCACAAAGCTATATTGTTATCTGAAAAGAGAACAGAACTATACTGATACAGATTGTATACTGGAGATATAAAATAGGTGAACACCTGCTGAATAAATGTACAGTCCTTACCTATGGCTTGGCTGGTATTGGTGACACATCTCTGCTGGGATGAATCAAGCACAAGTGGAGGGTTACATGTACAGAAATAAGATCCCACTGTGTTTACACAGATGCCTCCTTCACAGACCTCTTCCTCTTGGCATTCATCATTATCTATTAAATTAAAAATACTCTCTTAGCACCATTGACATTCTCATTTCCAGGAAAAAGTGAACTGCTAGTGCTATCCAGCAAACACTGACGTCACAAATTCCACTCAATTTGCTTAAATTGAAATTCCACAGCGACTTTTCTGTATCAGTTTCTAGAATCAAACTCCTAAAAAAGGTTTGATGCCGAATAGAATATTTCTTAGGGCTCACTCAAATCATGTCCATTGAGCAGCATTGGTTTGTGTTGTTCAATGTAGGCTTAACGCAAGGGCACAAAAATAAAAGATTGTACTCTATGTGCCACATTCACACTATAGATGTGCGCTGTGTCTAATGTATACATGCTAAAAATGCAACTTACTGCACCACATGGCAGCATGTTCCAACATACTGTGTTGTGTAAAGATGAATGGTCATTTTATGACACTTCAATAAAGTTAAGAATACTTCTGCTGCATTTAAAACAAGTAAACAACAGGGATTCCCACATCACTAGATCACTGAGAGAAGAGAGTTTGGGGGACTGTTACACTACAGCTGTGCCTGGGTAAACCGAGAGAAAACCCTAAAATGGTATGCAAAGGTCTGTCAAGATTTACCTTTCAGTGTGTAATAGTATGTACATTTAAATGTATCTGCTACTTTTGGATAGAGTGTAGAAGGATTAGAATCCTTGTCAATTTTTTATTGCTGCATTGAGATTCACTCCCCCCTCTATTTTTAAATTGTTACACCTTTCTTACTCTAAACTCCCTAACAAAGACAAGAGGCCATCACCTAAAATTGGTGGAGAAAAGATTTAACCACAAAGGGCGTAGGGGCTTCTTCTCAGTCAGAGTGGTTACATTTTGGAACTCTCTGCCACAAGCACTGGTATCAGCAGAGAGTATTGAATAATTTCAAAATCTATTAGCTACCTTACTCAGAGACCATAACATACAGGAGTACAGGTACTCTTAAAACCTAAGACCAGAAAGGGATTCATATACACACATGCACTCACTACACACACGCTTACACATAAAGGTTGAACTCGATGGACCTGTGTCTTTATTCAACCTCAAATACTATGTAACTATGTAACTGAAAGTGATGAAAACGCCAAACTTTTAGTTGTCACCCTAACAGGTGATGAGAGGAAATTTCCCAAAGGAGACACCTATTCCAATGACAACTAAGAGGGGATTTACCCTCACTTTACTTTCACCATAAGTCCAAACATATACTAATGGTATTGCCTGTTGCTGGTGTTGGAGGTTTCTCTGCTTACCTTGAGCTTTAGCAGAATATATACTTGCTGTAAATATGCATACATTAACAAAAGACACCTCCATCAGTTTACTCAACATTACAGACATAACTGACTGACATTTCAGTATAGGATTGTGGTGGGAAGAAGATCTCTTACCTGCCCACCACTAACCTTGTGCCCCATACAGACACTGGCTGGAGCTCTACAGATTTACAAAATTATTACCACTGGACTAATCATAATGTATATTAATAGCAATAACACACTAATAAAACTTACCGACGCACTCCATGCGATGGACATCATAGTAGTATCCATTAGGGCAGTAGCAGGCAAACAGTGGAGACTTGTTGAGACAGACTCCTCCTTTACATATTTCTTGACTAAACAGCTTGCATTCATCAACATCTGAGACAGAAATACATATATAAAATGTGTGCTTTGGGTTCTGTAGAACCTAACAGCAAAGATTAAGGGTATCATCTGATCCGGGTATAATAATATTTCAAATTCTGTGTCTTAAAACAAAGATCAATTTAAATAATAAAACAGAATGCTAGTTTAACTGCAGCCTGTGTGTGATAAATTCAGGAATTAACACAATTGCGCAGAGTGTTCTAAATAAACAAACACAAAGAGGAATGAAAATGGTGACATACCTTGGTATTGTTGTCCTGATGTAACAAAGCCCACTCCCTCTGGACATAGGTTTCGGTATTCAGCTGGAAAAAAAAATCCAATTTGTGTAAAAATGTATTATAAAACATATACATTTTTTCGTTTACTAACTGTAAAATGTGTTATTAAAGTACGGACAACTACCAATTTTAGATGCAATTGCGCTGTCACAATAATTGTATAAAAATATGACACAATGCATAGCCATAGTTAATATTCATATTACTGTGAGTTGGGAATTCATTAATTTTCTTTAAAGGAGAACTATGGGGTTAAGGCTTTTCCCCATAGTTCTCCTTAGGGTAACGGGAGGACAGAAACTAGCGTCTTCCCGTCACCCTAACTCAGTATACCGCGAGCTACAGCTAGCGGTATACTGAAACGCCACAGTATACTGCGAGCTACTTTTGCGGTATACTGAGATTCTGCAGCTGAAGCGGATCCCGACAATTATGTCTTGATCCGCCCAGCTGCGTTAGTGACAGCTGGCTCTGCCTATCTAGAGGTAGAGCCAGCTGTACCCTCCCCCGTCCGTTCCGCCAGTCAGCGCTGGCAGATCGGAGCGGGGAGGGGGGAATCCAGCCCCTCCCCTGTCACGGCAGAGAGCCGTGACAGGATCGAGAGGTGAGCGAACGCTGGTATGTGTTCGCTCACCTCCCGATCTACTGAGCCGACCTGTGACAGTCTCATTGTCACAGGTCGACAAGAACTATGAGGTGAGTGAAAAGCACTCACCTCATAGTTCTCCTTTAAGCCATGTATTATAGCAATTGTATAGCTGGTTATTATACTGCCATCTCGTGGGCATTTTGGTTATTGCACCACTTTTTCTGTGTTCCCTCCCATTTATGATGTATTTCCCTTTTCTTTAAGAATGTATATGCTAGCTTGGAAACATTATCATCCCTGACCTTCAAATACCATCTGTTCATCCTGCTGCATACAATAAAGCTCTTGATTGATGAAAAGGTATTTGGTGAGTTCAATTATCTGATAAGGATTGTACGCAGTGATTATATCTGCTTATACATGCCAGGCATAGAGGTCTCAGCAAGGGTTAAATCGCTAATACAACAATTGGAGTCAGAATAGCAATGGTGTAGCATAACGCAACAGAAGCAGAAGACTGCAGCCAGAGATAACAGTCAGTTTACCATATACTATAGAATTAATGTTGATGGCCCATTATCAAGCCATAGTGAAAGGTGTGCCTGGTGCTGCATATCCAAAAGACATCTCTGTATATATAAATGGACGTGGTTCTTGAAGCTATGTTTTTACATTGTTTGGATTATATTCTGATTCCCCTATACTTAAGTTTCCGTATTGCTGGAAGGATGGCAGAACGGGATACAATACTGTTGAAAATATAGGGCTCTAGGTTGGAAAGCTCCAACCTTGATTTAACAATAAACTACAGGGGTCTGCAATGTTTTAGGAGAATAAGAGCAACAATGAAGATTTGTATGGGGTGCTGTCATCACATAGATATCCTGCCTACCTGATTCCATGCTGGGGCACCTTTGAATTTGGCAGCCCTGACCCCAACCTTTGCCAACAGTGCAGCAACATTCACCCTGGCTGACATTTCTAGAGAGCACATTCTGACACACATTGGGGTCTTCTAGGTTGAAGTAACATTCCTTTAAGCCTGAGGTTGGTACAAAGTCCACACGGGAAGCTCCAGAACTGCTTGGAAAGGCAGGCCGTGCTGTGGTAGAAGAAACAATTTTAAATGTCATTAAAAATAATCAAATTCCTTTTTGATACAATCAAAAATAGTCTCACCAACTAAAACTTGTGTTTTGAGTATAGATATCGATGTCAAGGACTCTTACCAGCACCGGCAATCCTTATACATTTTCCAAACATTGGATCAAACTCTTCATTGCTATTTGGGCAGATGCAAAGGAAGGATCCTTCTACGTTTTCACAAAGAGCTGTCCCGCACACACCTTGTAGAGTCTCACATTCATTCACATCTAGAAAGAAATGCACATAAGGCTTTGGGAATACAGTGCATAATAATTAGCCAGTAAAACATGCTTCTTAAAAAGGCCATCTATGTCCTGCAACCTGCCTTATTTCATCGATCTCCTCCACCAGTTCATCTGACACCCCATTGGCAGGCAAAAACAATAAGAAAGCAGACAGACAAGAACTGCTAGTGATCTGACATCTCAATGAGACCCAACAGACAGGGCTGGATTTACTCTCTCTGCTCTGCCCTAAGGCCAGGTTCCTCAATGCTCCCCCCTACCCGACAACCCCCCCATGGAGAATGGCAGACCTGAAGGCTGCATACAAGTGATCTCGGCGACATCACCGGGATCACTTGTACAAAACAAACGGCGGGTTCCCCGATGTACATTTAGCCCTGCTTGCCCAAAGCTGGGCTAAATGTAGAAAACAACTAGCCAACTGGCGCCCTGGACTGCATGCCCCAGCCTTTGGGAGATAGGAATTCCACACCCCTGCTGCCCCTCTTCTCCCTGCTGCCCCAAGGCCGGGCCTTGGTTGGCCTTGTGGGAAATCCGGCCCTGCCAACAGATTGTTCAGCTGCCACAGCAACCTGCAGTTTCTCTCTGAAAGGATAGCCCTGGTGTAGCAATGTTACCCATAAAAAAGGAACCGAACTCTGGAAGCTGTGTCCAAGGCACAAGACAAAGGACTAGTCACCAGTATTGTGGTATGTGGTCTAGTCTGCAGTACTTGTGGTCTCCCTGCAGTGGATCTTTCATCCATTACTGACTTACCATGCCTTGTTTTGCACTCTAGCTTGAGGAGGACATCTTGATAGAGTTTTGGTTTTGCCTCCTTATCAGTTAGTCAGAGCTTTCATGAAAACAGCACAGAGAGTAGTAAAATGACATCACCAAACCTCCCTCATGAGACTAGCAGAGGCAGCAGTGCCTGATATTTCACACTGCAGATATACAGCTATGAGACTGCAGGCATGAGTGATTAGGAACTCTCACACATCAGGAAGGGCTCTGCTATTTGCCAGGAGGAACTCAGAACAAAACGACCTATACAGTTTACTGTTAGACACATATAACACGTCTAGATGTCTCCTACACCATAGCAAATTTTATTTTTTTTATTTTTTGGGCTCAGTTCCACTTTAAGTTGCCATTTTCCACTTTAACTACACAGAGTGTTAAAGTGACACTAAACACATGAATTAAATCTTAAAACTACATTCAAATACCTTAACTAATAACAAACATGTATCTTATTTGTGTGTCACTCGGCTGTAGATCCTCAAATCATCTCTGAATAGGTGCTGGCACTGTCCTTTCTTCTGGAGGGGTGCTACTTGTGTTCCTCATGGCCCCTGTGTGTGTTGTAAAGTAGTCACCTCTCCAAGCTCACTCCCATGATGGACTACAGTCTCACGTTTAGTTTACTCATCTGTATTGAGATTTTGTTAATATTTAAGATACTTGAATGCATTTTTAAGGTTTAACTCCCAAGTTTAATGTCACTTTAAGGAACAATCCCTAGCCCTATCTATCCAGCACACAAACCTCTAAGGCCTGGTTCACACCTTGGCGACAGCGTTTTTGCTAGTTTTAATGCGCATTTTCAATGCACATTTTTGTGTGTTTTTATGTGCATACGGCAAAAAGCGTGTTTTCTCATTGTAGCTCATTGATGTTAATGAGAAAAAGCTCATAAAATGCGCTTAAAAACATGCATAAACACAGCAAACAGGTGTTTTCAAGCGTTTCCTATTGAGTTTATAGGGCCAAAACGAGCTGTAATATGCCAAAAAAAGCTCATGTACTTTTTGCAGGGGCAGACATTTTGCTTATTGCGACAAAATGCTCAGATGTGTACAGAGCCATAGAAATTAATGGAATTTTTTGGAGGGGCGTTTTTTTGGAGTGTTTTTTAGGGCAGAAAAAGCGCTATAAAACGCTCAGTGTGGACCAGGACGAAAAGAGAATAAGGGGTTGATTTACTAACCTTATAAACACACCACGAACATGTATACACCTCTGTAGTGTGTTCCCTCCCAGCATGATCTATGGGTGGAATCTAAACACCTTTGTAGTGTGTACACACCCAGCAGATGTGTTATGCCAAGCCCTGCATGAATTTGCAAGGTGATGTTGTGTAAATTAGCTCTATGTTGTGTTGCTTGCGTTGATGAATGCAGGAATGTAAATGCATGAGCTAACCATTTTTGTCTAAACTGTAAAGCAGCATTATATATGCATCATGTGCATGATTTTTCCATATATGGCATTAGTGGAAATATGCTTTTAGAGACTTTTTGGTTGATAAATACGTTTTGCTGTGTGAAAATCACTTACCACATGGACGGAGCCATAGGACACTTAAGATATAAATAAGATATCAAATGGTAAGTACTCGGCTGCCCTCGGCAGCTTTGTGAATAGACCCCAAAGTCTCAGGACTTGAATGCCTACAAGCTGCTTTCACACAAAGTGAAGTCATAGTATGTTACTTTGCCAGGTCACAATCATCACATCAGAATTGTCTTCAACATGTTTGGGGACGCAGAAAACCAACACTGATGCAACATTTTACTTATTATGGGTATTGGCTATGTCCTCTTAGCATAGGTCCACTCGCCCCCTCCATCTTTATTGTGGAATCATACTCTTGCTATGTTTCTTGATTCCTTTTTAATGGTTAACTTAACATCATAGAGTTTGGTTTTGTTTATTTTTGTACTTTCACAGGCTTTAGTTGTTGTGTATGACTATATTGGGGACCCTCTTCATACAGATTCCATGAAGTGGAAAAATAAACCTCATCTGGAGATTCTGGGTAAACCTCATAATGTAGATGAAGTTCTTTTTTTTTCTTTTCTTAGCAAAACAAAAAAAAATAATCAATTATGAAGCAAAATACCTATTGAAGAAGCCTCTGACAGAGGCTGCCATTTTCTAGGTTTCCTAGGCTGTATACTATTTTGAAGCCAGTGAAATGTGTCTTATTTGCTTTACTGTAACAGATGTCAATGCCGAAGAACCACAATAAAGCCTTGGAGAATCTTTAGCCTAAGGCTGCCCTGACAGGTATTTTGTCATGGAAAAGTGCACAAACTAAAGCTTCTGTTTGTGCAGTCAAAAGTCAATAGAGAGAATTATTTAAAGCTCTGACATACTCTGTGTGTATAGTAGATCCCAGCTGAAATGGCTCAAAGCTAAACCACAAATGTAAGGAGCATGACTATGAGTTTAAGGATACTTCCCATTTATACAGTGCAGATTCAGCTTAAAAGCTCAAGGTCATCATTAATGTGTGTGGTGGTTTATCAAAGGCTCAAGGTCAACCTCCCTACATGTGGAGGATTGCACAAGGCTCAATGTTAACATTGAAGACAAATGTGTCTTTTTGCTTCCATGCAAATGATCCAAAGTAACAAATCGGGGATTGTATTACAGCTAACAGTAAGGGCTGAACATAGCTCAGCTGTGGTGTTAAATATGGTAATATACACTGAGTGGCCAGATTATTATGACCACCCCATCAGTACTTCGTTGGGCCACGAGATAACTCCACGAGATGACTTTGTTGGGCCGCCTCATGACTCCACGAGATGTTGAAAGGTGATGCGAGGAATCTGACACTGCACTGTTGCCCTTCTGTTGTCTTGTACCAGTCTTGCCACTCTCCGTTCTGCCCTAACATTGACTAGTCGCTGACGGCCACAATTCGCACGTTCAGACCCAGATTTTCGGCTGACAGTCCAGTCTTTAAACACTTTAACAACAGCTGCTCTTGAACATTTAACAAATTCTGCTGTTTTGCTGATACTCACTCCATGGCTTCGCGCCAACAATCATCCCACGTTCAAAGGCTGTTAAATCGCGTTGTTTACCCATATCTTCATAAAAAATCACTTCTACTGTCGTGGTAAACAACCTGCTTCCCTATTTATAATGGTCTGGCCCTCTAGCAACTTCAGCGTGAAATTATAGCTAATTTGCCTACAAACATCAGGTGGTCATAATAATCTGGCCACTCAGTGTATATGGACTGCAGTCAATAAAAAGATGCATGTTGCACTTTTTACCTTCTGCCTGTAATGCTCTTCAATAGATATCCTGCAAGGACAATACTTACTTTTTATCGGTATTGTGCTCCCTATCAATCACTCACCCACACAGTGCAGATCGCCCCTCTCCCCCTCAAAGCCCCGGTCACAAAGGCATTGGTAGGATCCCACTGAGTGCATGTCCCCCACAGACACTTTTATTTAGACATTCGTTGATATCTGACACAGGAATACCAATTTTAAAACTCAATCTGGTGCAATGCTGCTTCCTTTCTAAACTTTCTGTATCAAACATTAGTCAAACTGCAATTATACTTTAGCCGTTCCACCTTAAAACCAATGCCGTGCACACATGCACTGATCTCTCATCTCATTACAAACAAAGTTTAGATATCTTGCTTCTAACCTGTGACAAAGTGGTTTTAATGCAGACAATAAACTTCAAAAGAAGCTGACAATGGTATACACCAGTGCTCCCCAACCTTTGTATCGCCGCGGACCGGTCAGCGTTTAATAATTTTACTGTGGCCCGCTGAGGGGGG